AGTAAAGCTGGGTAGTATTGGGTCCCTTAATTTCATCTTGACCAACTGTCTTCTAAACATGTCTGTTTCCGCCACTGGCGCCGCCTTCAGGCGGACCTCGCACATTTCTTGCAGTGTACGTGTGTGCGTGCGTGCGCGCGTGACGTACGGGGGCAGAGCGCAGGGCTGCTGTGATTTAAGTTGCAGTCATGTGGATGAATATTCTCACTCTCACACACGCACACCGAGGAGGAGGAGGAAACCCACTTGGAGCGCGGATCGTCGATTTTACGCATCGCGGACGCACGGATGGCACAGCGTTCCTGGACAGGATGACGCATTTTTACACTTTGTTCGAGTTATTTCTGTGAAAGATACATACGGGAGAACGGCGAGAGGCAGAGCGGACACTTATGGTTTGGTGTCAGGCTCCCTCAGCCGGTCGCGTCTCCTCTCCGCTCCTGTGCGGTCTCCGTGACTCCTTCTTGCGCTGCGCTACTTTTCCGAGGACACGAAATGGGAGGCAGGGGCGCACCGGGATGCTGCCTGCCGGCGGCGCTGTACTGTCTCCGTCTCATGCTCCTGTTGCTGATCCAGCTGCGGAGCTGCGAAGGAAACATCACCGTGGCCGTGATGCTGCCGTACAACCATCACAAGTACCCGTGGGCCATGCCGCGAGTCTTCCCGGCCATCCTGATGGCTCACGAAGACCTACACGGTAAACATGGGCTGCTGCTGGGCCGATCGGTGCAAATCCTCAACTACAGTACCGACGACCCCGTCGCCGGCTCGTGCGCAGAGAGCCGCGCACAGGTGGTGGCCGTTGACGCCAAGCTCTATAACCGACCGGACGCGTTTTTTGGACCCGGCTGCGTGTACCCGCTGGCCTCCGTGGGCCGGTTCGCCTCCCACTGGAAGCTGCCGCTCATCACGGCCGGAGGTCCCGCGTACGGTTTCGATAAGCGGGATGAGTACAGCACCATCGTGCGCAGCGGACCGTCCACCACCAAACTTGGGGACTTTGCCTGCGTCCTGCACACGCACTTCAACTGGACCTCACGGGCCGTGGTCATTTTCTACGACCTGCGGCAGGACGACCGGCCGCATTACTTTCTGTCGGAGGGGATTTTCCTGAACCTGAAGGAGGAGATGAACATGACGGTGGAGGCGCAGCCGTACGAGAACGACCACAAGCACTACAAAGAACTCATCTCCTTCATGAAGGAGCACGGAAGAAGTAAGTTTCGTCGGATCGAGCTCTTCGACGAGTTTCGGACCAAGTCCATGTGGACCTCGTGTGTTGTGGTGGATTGGTACACAGTCATTAATTGGGCCAGACAAACGGTTTAAAAGTTGAAAGTGGGATTGTACCAAAAAAGTACATTTATGAATGTCAAAAAGTACACAACACACAACTTCTGTCAAAATGACATGTCAGTCAGTTCTTTAGATTAAGTCTTGACTCCCGGGTCACAATTTCCTAATTTCCTAATTTCCAAAATTTCCAATTTCCAATTTCCACAATTTCCTAAAAATTGAACAGCGGGGGGCCGAGTCAGGAGCAGATAGACGGA